CGCCTGTAATCCCAGCTCTTAGGAGGCTGTAAACAGGCGGATCACTATAAATCCAATCTAGTAGTGAGACTCTGAACACCCTGTAGACCCTTCCCTAAAGTATATAAAAAAAAGAAGAAGAAGAAAGAAAAGAGAGATACATGGTTACTAAATACTTGCAACTATTTCAAGTGGCTGCACAGAAAATAAGAAAAGGTATCATAAAGTGGGTATAATTAGGAACAATGGAATAAAATTAAGCACAGGAAAATTTACTCTTGGTGTTAGAACAAATTTTTCCAGAGCAAGGGCAGTGGCTTTTGTGGTTCTTCCATTCAAACAGCTGAACTTCTTTCTCTAGGTTGAGTAATTTTCAAACTAGACTGAAGGGAGCATTTGGAAATAGGTTATCGAAAAATCCTTTACTAAAAAAAAAAAAAGAAAGAAAGAAAAAGAAAAATCCTTTACTGTCCAGACATTGATCTGAATGATTGAATACCACATTTTCATTGCTGGAATTAAGCTTTTACTCCTGCCAACATACCTTTCAGTTGTTTTACTAACCAGACTTTTCAAACACCCCTTTGAGGTCAATAAGAATTTTATTTCCACTTCTTTACATAAAGAATGAGGTAGAGAGGTAGAGGGACTAGCCCAAGGTCATTCTGCAAGTTAACAGCACTGTCTCTGCAGCCCTAGGCCTGATAATCCGCTGAATCTGACCCCTTTGGAATTGAGAGGTGATGATAACAAAAGATAATTAGTTAAGGTCATTTTTAAATGTTTTTCTGATGCTCAGGAAACTTTCCACGTGAGTTACCGTGAACTGGTCCAAAGTGATAGGCCAGGCTGGCAAGGGAAACACATTGCTTCATGCATGGATGTAACTTTAAAAAAAAAAAAAAAATGCAAGTGAATCAGGCTGTTTATCATTTACTTGGGTCACATCTTCGCTTTGCGGAGGTCTATCATGCAAAAAATGACCAGGGGCTCAAAAGCTCTCTGGTGTTGAAGTTCTCACAATATCCCTGAGGAGAGTGGTTCTCAAACCTCAGTGTGGATGGGTTAACATACGTGTCCAGGGGAGGCTGGTGCTGCGGGACACGCGCTGGCAATTGACCGCCACCCAGAAGAACGTGGTCACACTATCAGATCCCTGGGTTTACGCAGTGTGGACCTCTGTAATCTGTACCTTCGTCACACAGAGGCTTCCTATCAGCACAACTATCTGCTAGGATTTCTCTCTGTTGCCTCTTTTCAGGCAAGGGCAACTGGGGCAGGAAGAAGCTGCGGGTAACAAACGGGTGCGCGGCCTTCCTCTCCCAGACTGTTAACTGCACTTCATTCTGATCACAAAGAAGTTCTAGGTCTCTTGTGTTAAATAAAAACTGATGTGAAGAGAGGAAAGGGGAAATAATGGGAAATGCTTACAAAAGTATCATATTTCTTTAAGGATGGTCATTTTTATTGGAGCAGAGGAGAGAACGGTGGTAGATAGATTCAGGGTAGATGAGGGGAGAGATACGTCTTCCATCACAGCCTTATTTTAAAACCTCCTGCCTTTCCATTGAGACCAAAGTCAACTACATTACTCTGCCCCTAACGACCTCCAGTCAAGGAAAATGGCAAGAAAAATTTTATTCCCTCTCTGAGCCCCATCCCACCCAGCCTTCTCTAGGATCCCAAAGGTATGATCTATCACAGTGTATCATTTTTCCAAGGGTCACCATCTATAAGTATATTTCAGTCTGTCTAATTCCACCAAAATAATCTTCAGGGTGCAAAATCTGCTCCTCGATCCAATTCTTTTAAAAATAAATGTTACGTGGAAATGCCATCTTTCTAACCTGCTCCTAGTCAACGCACGTGTACAGGGAAGCTTTATCATCACACAGTCTGCTCTTGGTTATGAAGGACACGTGACAAAGTGCCCAACTGTAACACATTGCAGCGCCCTGCCTGGCCCATGGGCAGGGCTGGAAACACAGCTGTGAGATGATATGGCCCGATACTTACTGGGTGGTCAGCATCAAGCTCAGTGCCATACATGAGAACTCTCTGAGAGCATTTGTCCAGCTCAGAGATCTTCCGGGGGAACCAAGGCACGTCCTCCAGCTCTGTTAAGAACAGTACAAGTGCAAAACAAAGATTAACCCACAGAACATATCTTCCCCTTCACAACATGTGTCAGCCTGCAGAAATCACTCAACAAGCAAAACCAGCCCTTGCCTTCTTCCTCTGTCCAAATGTTCTCTGGAGGGCTCAGTGTGACAATGGTGGCTTGAAATTTCAGCAACTGAATGAGCTCATTAAATTCTGTTTTGCCACACTCACAATCCACGAAGATTTCAACCTCAGAACTTCTTCTCCGGGATCTCCTGGATTCAATGTGAACCATGTTAACGTGTTTTTCCTGTGGAAACATTAAGTAACATCTCTAACTCACACTCAGGTCCTGAGAAAAGAAATGTTTGTTTGTTTGTTTGTTTGTTTGTTTGTTTCATAAGCAACAAAGTGTCATGTACCCACAAAACAGAAATAAAGACAATCTTCTTGTTCTTTGACTAATAAGTAGAAGTGTTTCCAACTACTGCCTCCATAAGACACCTGAACTGTCAAGCCTCTGTTGTCTTGCCTCATTCCAAAAAAGGACAGCATTTGTAATAAATAAAGGGCCCCCATAAAATTTATCATAATATCAGCATTTCCCAAAGTGGTCCATATCCCATTGGTGATACATGATTATTTGGGAGTGGGACCTGCAACTGTCTACCACCGTGTTATCATCTAACCCCAAGATTTGCATTTTATGTTTCTGAAAAACAACTAAAATTCAACCTCCTAATTTCATAGTGATGAACAGCTTCATTTTGAAATAAAATTTTAAATTTTTTTAAATTTTATTTATTCATATATTTGGTGCAGGGTCTTACTACACAGCTCAGACTCATAGTGATCCTCCTGTCTCAGCAGCCCCAGCACTAGAATTATAGACATGAGCCACCACGCCTGGTGTCGGTGGCCAGCTCAGCACACTCAAGGGTGGGGCCAGCATGGTAAGTGATGCTAGGGATCAAATCCAGGGCCTCCAGCCTGTTAGGCAGGCACTTAGACTGCCAAGCTATGTCCCCAGCCCCAAACTAAAGTTTTAAACTGAAGCAACCTTTAAAAAAAATGAGTGACTGAAAAAATAGCCAGCAGAAATTGAGAAGATGATATGAAAATTTCTAGTATTTGGTAAATACTGGCCAAAACCTAACCCAAATCAGAAGAAAAGCAAGAAAGCAAGAAAAGCAGCTGAGAGAGTCTCTCTAAAGGCAAAAGGAAATCAAACAAGTCATTTACTTATGGCACAGCGAGAAGGCAAAGCAAAAGGTCAAAGATAATAATATCCCCTAAGTCTGACCATTTAGTAATTACTCCCTTTTGCAACCTCCAGGCTAGCTTTGCCCAAGAAAAGTGTTGCTACAACTATCTATGATGAACTTCAGAGGTGAAAATCTCCTTGTAATAAGCTACTCAAGAGATAAAAGTAATTTAATGCCAAAAAAAAATCAAGCTGAAATTTCCCCAGTGACACAGTTGTCTTTCTCTTCAGTTAATTGAAGACCAAGTTCTCTCCACCCCTAAGCAGACCCTGCTCCATCACTCCAGATGGTCTACTCCATTATTAGCCCAAGTCTTGATATGATCCTGGGTGAGCTCACAGTTTTCAGCACAGGAGCAGGATAATACTAGAAACAAGTCACGTGACCAGGAAGCTAAATGGTCTGTTTTTATTAACCTTCATAATAATCCTATATTTTCCAAATTGCGTGATAATAAAAGTAACATTAATATTAAGCTCAAGGGTCAGGTAATTTCATATACTTTGTGTCACTTCAACTTTTAATGACCATCAGTTGAAGTGGTTTAGCTTACACTAGCTATGGGCAGAGCGATGACTTAAAGCTATCAACTCTTTCTCTGGGGATTTCCCCAGCTGTCCCCAGTTCTCTAATAGGCTCAGCTTGTCAATGGACTCCATGTGGGCACAGCCCCAGATGGCTTCATCATGTGTAAAACACTACCCCCATTTTCCATTATCACTGTTTATGGTACCTGATCTGTCTTTCAAGGTCAAAGGGAACACTTGGCACAGGGGGCTACTTTCCCCTCTAGGATCATCCCAGATAATCCTAGTACCTAGTACCTCCCTCCCCTACGCTTCACAAAGCATTTTTGTCCCTAGGATTTCCTCCCACAAGCCAGTGAGGTAGGAATTATTATTACTGTTTTACAAATGAAGAAAATTGAACCTTGGAAGCTGCTAGGGACTGACCAAAATGGGAGAATACAGATCTAAGTCCCCAGATAGCAGTTTCAGCTGTCTTTGGCCACAGCATAGCAGCCCCAGGTGCAGGAAGAGTTGGGCTCCTATCTCACCTCTCTCACCAGCAGCCTTTGCCCTCAAATAAAATGCATTCAGTAAGGGAAAGTGCATCCCTGACAAGTGAAGGAGACATCAGAGGTACACTGGCAAGAGGATGAGAGCTTTGCCTCATCCTCTCCCAGGATCTTTCTTGAAAGCTCAGACCACAGATTCAAGACTAAGAAGATGCGACTACATTTCTAGGTGC